CGGACACCGAGCCCCAGGCTCTCCTGGCTCCCACTCCTGTCCAAGTCCCCACCCTCCTCTGCCCATGCTCCCCTCAGCAGCCACGAGGGCCCTCCCAGAGTACACCTTTGGCAGCATCACTCCCCAGTTCAAGTCTCCATGGCTCTCACAGCCCCCTACAATGGCTCTTCCTCCTTCTGCCCCTGCAGATGCCCCACACCCCCTCAGCTCTGCTGTTTGTACCCTCTGACCCCTTTGCCTGAATCACTCTTTTCCACCAAACGCCCATATATTCTTTGGTTGAGATTCCACCTCCTCCAGGAAGCCTTCCCTTCTGCCATGGCCTCTGTGCTCCCTCAGTTCACAGCCCCATCCCAGGGAGGGCAGAGATAGCAGCTTGCCTGTGCCCTTAGCCACGGCACTGTCTGTGCCCGTGTGCCGCCCCGTCTGTGGCTGCTGTGTGCTGGGGGTGGACTGGTGCATACCTGGTCCCAGAAGACGTGGCCCCAGTAGCATTCCTCTCGGCTCCCGTTGGACAGGCCCCCAGGGCTTAGGCCGTGGCAGGTGTATCCTGGGGCCCCGGGCTGGGGTAGCGCACTGAGCAGGTAATAGAGGGCACCACGCAAGGCCTGGCGCAGGGGTAGGGGCCCTAGCACATCCAGGCCACAGCCAGCCCAGAGCTGGGCCCAGGCCTGGGCATGGGCGGGGTATAGAGTGCCTCTTGTCTGCAGCTGCAAGGCCTCGGTAAGGCAGGCTCGGGCCTCAGCCTGGCTGCCCCCAACCACAGTCAGGAACTCCCAGGTCCGGTCTTGCTCTCTCTCCCCAAGCGTCAGGGCTGGGGGCACTGGTGTCCACAGCATGTGTACCTCCTGCTGGGATCCCCCAGGTTGCTCCGGGGTTAGCGTGCGGCCATAAAGATACCTGCAAGAGTGTGGCCATGTCTAAGGGAGCAGCTCCCTCCTTAGTCTACCTGGCCAGGCATGACCCCCTCCTCACCGGGCTCCTTGGAAGTCAGGACCCAGATGCAGGCCCAGGTCTGGGCTTTCTGGGGAGAAGGTGGACCGCAGCAGCACCGTGACGGGGCAGTCCCCCACGGCCACACGGGAGATGGACACACTGAAAGCCATGACGTGAGGCAGCACGCGGTGGGCGTAGATGCGCTGGGAAGCCCGGAAGCTGGGGCCCTCTAGGGTGTGCAGAAAGGAGCCTGGGAATGGGCGGCGGGGGGTGTGTGTGTCAGGGCAACCTGCAGGCCCCACTGAGTGCCAGTGAGGACGGTTACAAAGCTACTCGCCCCCCAGGGAGGTGGGGCCGCCCTCTGAGCGCCAGCCGCCGTGTCTGGAGAGCTCCAGCGGCACAGACGACAGAGGACGCCTAGCTTGCCCGGGTTCAGGAGGTCTGTAGGGCTGAAGCCCTCCTTTTCCCTGTGAGTCGGGCATCCTGAGTTGGAAGGTGGCAGGATGGGGCTGCCATCCCGTCACCTGGAACAATGGCTCAGGTGGGGGAGCAGGGCGGTGCTGGTTACCTGTGTTAGTGTCCAGGACAAAGGTCTCTGTCAGCTGATCTCCTGTGTCTCCGGGGACCTCCAGCTGGACATTGAGGGGACTTGGCAGAACGGCCCGGTGTGTGTCCCCGCTAGCCCCATTGTACACGCCACTCACATGCAGTGTGTCATGATACACACGTGTGCCCAGGTATGTGTTGGTCATGGTGGCCAAGAGCCGGGGGTCACCAGGCAGAGAATGGGCAGTGAATATGGTGGGGTCCTCACTGGCATCCTCCATGGAAAGCCTTGCTCAGCAGAGTGGCCTGTTAAAGGGGGAGTCAGTGGCCCCCACAATTGGCTGGGCCTCCCTCTTTTGACTGTCTGTAAAGTCCCAAGCCCCCTTCCTCCCACCCCACCGCTTGGCTGATGCCTGGGACAGCTGGTGGGGAGGGTGTGGGCCTCCTGGGCAGCTCGGATTTCCACAGACTCCACTTTTGAGCCCCCCAGGAAACACTTTCCACCCTAAGAGATGCTCAAACTCCTGACAATGATCTCCAGACACCCAGCTGGGTCCCCAAACTCCCACCTTCCAGCTCTTTCCAAGCCACACCCCCACGAGCCCCGACCTGTCAGTGGGGAGTGAGGAGGCCTCCGTCTTCCACACGCTGGTCCTCAGGAAGGCCGGCTTGGGAGAGGGGGTGCATGTGCCGCAGCGTGGTCCGGGGCGGTCAGGGCGGTGGGGGCGGGGGTGGGGTGGGGGCGGAGGCCAGCGCTCTTGGGCCGGGGCGCGGCAGGAGCCGGGGCTCGGGGAGGCAGGCGGGGGAGGGTCTCTGGGGCTCACCGCGGCCCTGTGTGTCCCCAGGCTCCAGCCCGCTCCGCGCGGCCCCTCCACGGCAAAAGGACACTCAGCTCGCCGCCGCCCCGTCGCCGGAAGGCCTTGCGGTCCCGCCCTCAGGGCCGCGCAGGGCGGGACAACCGGGCCCCCACCCCCGGGGCGGGGCAGCTGGCGGGCGACCGGCCACGGTGGTCGGTGCGCAGACCCAGTGCTGCCGCTGCGCGGGTGGCGCTCGAGGGAAAGTGCGCGGGAGGCACAGTTTGAACTCGGACCCCAAGGAGGTGTCCAGGGACGGGTACGAGAGGGGCAGGGCCTTTCGTCGGCGCTTGTCCCGCTCCGGCGTTGTTTCCTCCGTCTCTCTGCGAGCTTCCGTGTACCCCCTTCGGAGAGGTGGCGACGCGGTCCTCCAGGAGCAGTCCCTCCCTTGGCTCTGGCCCCAGCCTCTGACTCTCTGGGGCCTCTGCTCTCAGACTTGGTTCCCCACCTGCCCATGCGGTCATTCCAGAGCTGGGTCCTGGGCCCTGGGCCCTGGGCCCCTCTCCTTGCCTCTCTGCCCTGCCTGTGCTCTGACCACCGGGCTCAGCCAGAGACACTCGGAGTCAACATACCCCTTGGAACCAGCTCTACTTGCCACCTCCCCCAGTACAGGTGTTGGAAACTGCGGGGGACCAGTTGCTCAGGCCCCTCCTGGCCCCACACCCACTTCCACACAGCGAGTCCCATGGTTCTGCACTGGCCAAGGCTTGCCAGCCCTCCCCATCCCCACTGCAACCTCTGAGACCAAGTCGTCCTCTTGGATAAACACGGCCCTCACCTTGTGCTTCTCCTCTGCCCTCTGTGGTCCTTGGTAACACTGGGCCACAGCCACCCCGAGACTGACTGGGTGGGACTGTGCCTTCGGCTCAGAAGCCTGCAGTGATGCCCACCTCACGGGGAGGACGGGCCAGCCAGCATCCCTGAACTTGCCCTGACCCCTTGCCCTAGTGTCCGGCGCCCCACTAGCTTCCCTGCTGCTTCTGCAACAGTCCTGCTTCTGCATGGACTGAATGTGTGCCCCCCAAATCCATCAGTGGAAATCTAATCCCCAATGTGACCGTATTTGGAAGTGGGGCCTTTGGGAGGTAATTAGGTCAAGAGCTGTCAAGAGTGGGATTAGCGACTTCCCAGAAAAGGCCCAAGAGCTAGCCGGCTCCCTTTTCACCATGTGAAGAGACAGCAAGGGGACAGCCCTCTGCCACCATGAAGAGGGCCCTCATCAGATGCCAGACTGACTGGCACCTTGACCTTGGACGTTCCAGCCTCCAGCACGGTGAGAAATAAACCCTTCCCCAGTCCCCAGTGTATGGTATTTTGTCACGACAGAGGAGGGGGCTAAGACACTCCTCTTCACCACTTTTGTACTTGGCTCTTGCTTTCCCTGGAGCAAATTCCTTCAAGATACTCTCAGGGCTTGGTGCCTCACATCCCTCTGTTCTCAAATGCCCTGTCCTCAGTTAGACTTCCCCAGATCCCTGACCTTGTAATCCGAAAGCCTTGACTCCATTGTCTGCCTGCCTTTTGTGCTACTTCATGTTCCCCCAAAGCACTGGTCGGCCTGTCTGTACATGTTTATTGTCTTTCTTCCTGTCAGGCTCGGGGATTTTTGTCTGTTTTGTGGAGTGAACGGCTGGACTTGAGAGGTGATTATGGAAGGGACGTCCCCCCAAGGGGGGAAGGCGTTGACTCCATGTTCTCATCCACCCGGACCGAGGTCTGAGGAGCTGGTCGGGCCCGCCGTGTGGAGCAGAGACCCGAGCACCTGGGGGCTGAGTGCTGTGGTTCGGCTCCAGCATCACTCGGCTTCCTCTCCCGGGGGACGGGGAATAGAGCCCCCCCCCATACAGGTGGGTTGGTGGCCAGAGAAAAGAGCGGGAGCCCTTGTGAGGGTGCTCGACTACGTGCAACAGAAGCCAACAGAAGCAAATCCGAAGGGGAACGTGTCACCCATGTGTGGGGTGGGGGTAGGCGGCCTACCAACCCCGCGCCACCACAGCCCGCCCCCCATCCCGGTGGCTGCTCCAGGCCTCCCCCTGGGCTCCATCCCCGAAGACCTAGCCGTGAACGGACACCTCTGCACTGGGACCACACAGCCTCAGCGACGGCTTTGCTCCTGGTACCAAGACCCGAATCCCTCGGGAGGAATGGAGACCTGCCCACGTTTGGTCAGGGTCAGCCCCTGCATGGCCCCCGGGGAGCAGGGCCAGAGTTGCACTGTGGGGCCCGCAGCGCGGATGGGGATGGGATCAGTGGTCTGTGCTGAACGCACCAGGTAAAGGCCGACCTGTGGCAGGCGCTCCATGACTGGGGGCGCGCAGTTTCATTGTTGTTGCTGGAGGCCTCGGCGGTGGGGGGGGCGGGGGGGAGAAGGGGGGAGGAATGGCTGGAGGCCCCAGGAGAGGCAGGTGGGTGGAGCAGCAGTGGGGGGTTGGGGGAGGAGGGGCCCCTGGTGTGGAGGATAGAGAGGTAACATGTGCCCAGGGTGTGGGGGGAGGGGCATGTCCCAGGTAAGGGACCACGTGCGTCCTCACCTCCCATCTGCCTGCCCCCAGCAACTCAGGCTCAAGAGAGCTACCCAGAGCTGACAGCAATGTCCTCTTGCCCTTGGGATGAGGAAGTCCACTCCGTAGGGCTGACTTGAGTCCTCCCCCGGCCTTCAGGAGCTCAGAGGGCACTGCTGCGTCCTGCAGGAGGCCTGGGATGACCATTCAGGGCTGGGTGGGTGATGACCAGGCCTGGCTTTGCTGTCTTCACCGCCTGCAGCTCCTTCAGGGACTGCTCGCTCAGCTCCACGGAGGTCAGACTGTGGCCGCGTGCACAGAGCACAAGAGGGGGTAGGGTGGGGAAGCTGAGGCTAGGACTGGGGGGACCGTGACAGGCCAGTGAGGGGGGGGCAGTGATGGGGCTGTTGGCCCAGGCAGTGCTGAAGGGACACAGTGACAGGAGGTGGTTACTCAGGGGCATCAGAGGCCGGGGGAAGGGGCTTGGGCCCAGAGCCTTTCGGGGAGCAAAGGGTGCTGGGATCACTGGCCCAGAGTTGCCATGGGCCCCAGATGACACACGGACATTTCAGTCTGGTAGAGCGGCTGAGGCCAAGGGCTGGGCAGGGCTTTGGAGCACAGGTCTCCAGGGACTGGGTTTGAGAGTGGTTTTTGGGGGGGGCGGGTTTCCCCTTCAGCATCCGGGAGAAGTCCCCAGGCACCCAGCCCAACCCTTGGTTGAGAGGCTGAGTCCCCAGCACCTTTCCCGCCCCCGCCTCTACCTGAGGGTCTGTAGGCGGCATCCCGGGTACTGGAGGACCGCACACAGGTAGGTCACTATGGACTCTGATAGCCGGCAGTCACCGAGTTCCAGGGTCGTCAATGCTGGGCTCTGCCTGAGCATGCCGGTGAGGTACTGAAAGGCTTCCTGAAGGCTGGGCTGCCACACCCTTGGGGGAGGAGGAGCCTCAGGACCACTGTGGACACCCCCCTCCCTGGTCCACAACCTGTCCCTCCCGTGGTCTCTCCCAGGCCAGGTCTCACCGGAGCTTCTGCACCTGGCACTGCGGCCAGGCCAGGCCCTCACTCAGCACCCGCAGGCCTGCCTCGCTGAGCCGGTTGTGGAGGAGGCCCAGCTCCCTCAGGGCGGGGGCCTCCCTCAGGGCCTCGGAGAGGTCTCGGCAGACGGAGTCCGGCAGTCGGCAGCGGCACAGCCTGTGGGCAAGAGGCACGTGGGTCTGGCTCAGGCCCCTTGGCTGCTTGGCCATAGCCCACTGGGCAAACTGGCCACTCCTGTGTGTGTGTGTGTGTGTGTGTGTGTGTGTGTGTGTGTGGGAGGGGGAGGTTCAGTCCGGGGACAGGCTGGCTCGGCAGGAACAGAGATCTCTCTGTCCTTTGTCTCCACATGTGTGCCTGGGGCACAGGGCCATCCGAGCGAGGGCAGGCCTGCACACTTTTCCCTTATGGCACGATTCTCTCCCAGCATCTGGAGAGCCCGTTTAGATCTTACTGCCACGTGTTTAGCCCGTTGAGTTTGGGGGCGTGGTTTATGCAGTTAGCCCGTCCCCAGCAAGCCCGTCCCCAGCAATCAAGCGATTGGCTTGTTTCTACTTCGCTGCCTTTAGAAACAATGCTGTGATGAACCTCTTCATGCACTGAGTTTAGAGCCGAGTGGTTGGGCCAAGCTTGCCGATCACTGCCCTCTGTTTCTTCCCAGGTTGCTGGAGTACCCTCCCACCAGGCCAAGTGACTGTGTCACCATGCCCCACTACAAGTTCCTACAGCTTCTCTTACTTTCTGCTTACTTGGTGACAAGTCCTGTACTCGGCGTGGCCACGTTAATTCTCATGCCAGCCTGTGGAGGCAAGACCTACTGGCTCAGTTTCACATGGGAGGAAACGAGCTCAGACAGACTGATTTGCCCAAGGGCTCCGCGGCAGGCAGCCGGGACTCAAAGCCTGTGGCCCGAGTACTTCCCTCCGCTTCCCTCCGCTGCCTGTGAGAGTTCAGAGGGGCTGCCCAGTAGCCCCTCTTTCCAATAGCTCCTCGCAGCCTTCCTTTGTTTGTTTGTTTCCTTTCTTTGGAAGGAAAATATATTGTGGTCTTCCTTATCCCTATCCCAGAATGCATAGCTGCACCACACTTTCTACTCAATCTGCGGCCAAACCCTCCTTCCTAACTAACACCGAAGCTGGTGAGGGAGCCCCGATCCCCATCCCCTCCTCCCTCCCCGTCCTGAGTGGGCACAGCCTGTTGACCCCAGCCCGGGACACCAGAATCCCCTTGGCCATTTCCAGCCAGGGCTACATCTCTGTCCCTGCCCAGACTATCCTGCTTTGCATCCCTTCCAAGGGAGGGTGGGGGTTCGGTCACTCACGTCAGGCTGTGCAGACCACAGTGTTGGTCAGTCATGGCCTCGAAGAGTGTACATAGTGGAGAGGCCTGGGGTTTTCTCGTGGTGGCTTGTGAACTGGTGGGAGAGAGAGCAAGTTGAAGCCTGCCTGTCCCCTTCCAGTCCCTCCCTCCTTCTTGGGGTCCTGAGGTGTCAGAGCTGCCTCTGTCCTCAGCCCCAAACTGAGCCGGGACCCCTCCACCCTCTTCACTCCAAACCCAGAGGGAAACCGCTCATCTGGGGCCTCATGCGCCTCCCCGCTGAAGCGGCCTATGTGAGTCCGGCTTGTGCGTGCAGGGTGTCACCGTCATTCCGAGACGGGTCTGTCCTTGCACCTGCAGTGGGCGTCCTCAGCCCCAGCCCCTGCCAACACCCCGACAGTCATTATGTCAGCAGATGCTGAGCTCTGGGTTGAGTGCCGGGTTGGAGCTAAGACGATTTGCCCTGAAGGAGCTGAGGGTCTGGTGAGGGGGATAGACATGGGCAGAGGTCATGGCATACAGTGGTCTATGGGGCACTTCTGGGGACAAAGGGGTCCCAGGCTAGCTGGGGGAGCCTGCCAGAGCACTGATGACAGGCAGCAAACGGTGTTCTGGGTGGAGGGAACAGCAGGTACAAAGCTCAGGGCACAGCTGGCGTAGTGCATTCCAGAACTTACTAGAAAGCTGGGCCACAGCCACATGGCCGTTGCTAAGAGGTTTGTCTCGGAGGGGACCGGCTGGGAGTTGGCATGGCAAGGGCCCCTCTGGAGGGAGATGGACAGATGGACATCGGAGGCTTCCTTGAGAGGGTGCGGGCTCCTCCTTGGGGGGAACAGGCCTCCGGGCGGCGGCCTCCCCCTGCCCAGATGGATGCAGGGCGCACATCCCCCCACCCAGGGCCTGTGGACTCACGAGCTGCCACCGAGGCTGCCATGCAGTCGCTTTATCAGGCTCTTCTTCTTCTTCTCCTGTGGGGGGACCAGCGCACAGCTAACCAGCCGCAGGGCCTGCCCGGCCGGGCAGCTCCTCACGCAGTAGCTCAGGACCACCAGGTCCAGGCGGCTGAAGCGCACTCGCTCCAGCCGGAGCTCAGGCCAGCCGCGCAGCGCCTGGTGCACAAAGGTGCTCTCCTGCGTCTCGTACAGGCAGTACAGGAGCTCTAGCGGGTAGCTGAGCTCTCCCTCCTCCTCCTCTTCTGGCTCCTCGGAGCCTTCCGGAGCTTCTGTCTCTTCAGTCCCCTCAGGGGCCGCCCTCGGGCGGCCCTGGCCCTGTTCCTGCACCCAGCGCAGGACATCCTGCTTCACGCGCTCGGAAACCACGCTGCGGCCAAATTGGCGCTGGATGTCACGCATCCGCTCTGCGTTCAGCAGCCCGAAGAGGAAGCGCGTGGTGAGCGTGAGGTGGCCGCGCAGCTCGGCGTCCCCCCGCAGAAGCGCCCCTACGCCCTCAGCCGGTGCCTCGAGAGCCCTCTCGTCCTCCAGCAGGTAGGACAGTGCGGCAAAGAATTCCTGGAAGCTCTGGTCCATGAACTGGTAGGTGACCTCCGTCTCCAGCACTCCTGGCAGCTCTTTCTTGCTGAGAAACAGCGTCTGCACTTTAGAGCCACGAAGTTCCAGTCGTTCCAGATCCTTCTCGGGGAACTGCGCCCTGTGCCGGAGGGTACCTTCGCGGGCCAGGCGGCCCAGTTTCCGCAGCTCTCCCTGCATCTGGGGACCGTCAGCGGCAGGCGCCGAGCTCAGGACGCTGGTGATGAAGAGCAGGTACACGGACGTGGTGGTCTTGGAGGTGCGCGACAGGTCCTGGTGGAGCTCGAGCTGCTGGCGCAGGACGGTGCACACGATCCAGCACACGAAGGGCACGAAGCACAGCGCAAACAGAGTGTCGTTCTCCTTCACGAAGCGGTAGGCGCACTCCGCCATCCGTTCGTCCCGAAAAAACTTGTGGAAGTACTTCTTCTTGTCCTTGTCAGAGAAGCCGCGCACCTCCGCGCACTGCGGGGAGCACAGGCGGCCCTGCAGCCTCCCCGGGGCGGCGGCGCGCGCGGTCACCAGCAGGCGGGCTCCGGGCAGCAGCGTCTTGCTCATCAGGCCGTCCAGCACGCGCGCGCCATCCGCCTCCTCGAAGGGGTCTGTGCAGGGCGCGGCGTTGGCGGGTCCCGGGAGCAGCTCGTCCGCGCCGTCCAGGATGAAGAGCAGCCGCTCGGAGCGAGCGAGCATCTGGCGCACGGGCGCGCTGCGGTGGGGGCACTGGTCGAGGACCAGGCGGGCCAGGCTGCACGGGCCCGGTCGCTCCAGCAGCTCGCGGCAGGGCAAGAAGAAGGCGAAGTCTACCTGGTCGTGGTACAGCTTGCCGGCCGCCCAGTCGTACAGGATCTTCTTCGCAGCCATGGTTTTGCCGATGCCCGCCGGGCCCTGCAGCACGACGGTCAGAGGCCGCTGACCCTCTTCGTCGCGGGCGAACAGGCGGTTGAAGGTGTGGGTGTCCGAGCGCCGCGCGCGCTCTGCCTCTGGCTCCTCCGCGAGCTCCGGAGCCTCGTCCACCAGCGCGGCGCTCTCGCGCGCGATCAGCAGTTTGGTGAAGCGCTTGTTGATCTTCACCGAGCGGGCGTTCCTCTCCTTTACCTTGGCGTGCTGCTGCAGGACGTGCTCTCTGTACTTCTTCTTGTACTCTGGCGGGGGCGGGAGAGGGGGCCGGGGGGAGTCAAGGGAACTGGGGAGTGGGGGCCGCGTCACTGGACCCTCTCGGCCCCTTCCCCAGCCCGCTAGGTTCAGGTCTGTTTCCCCTGCCGCACCCCCAGTCCCTCCGCCCAGCCACCCTCCCGCACGCCCTCCTCCCCCAGCTGCCGCAGACGCCCGTGCTGCAGACCTGAGGGTCACCGTACCCTCCCCCAACCCACCCCCGCCCCCACGGCTTGGGGCGGGTGCTTCGCACGGAGGTAGACTTACCCGACACGGAGAGCAGAGCGGAGGAGCCGGGGCCGAACCCTGGAAGGGAGACCTGCGGTGAGGCCCAGCCGAACGCGCAGGGGAGGGGCGGGGGCCGCAAGAGGGAGTTGGGGGCCCCCTTGGGAGCGCCCAGGACCCGAGCCCTGAGAATCAGCCCTGGTGGGGCTGTGCATGGGGAAGCGGGAAGGATGGTGGCGCGAGGCGTAGACTCTGTCTGGGCGGAAGGGAACAGAGAGGCAGGGACCCCGGCGACCCCCGAGCCCGCGCTCACACTGCAGCCGCTGCTCCTTGAGTCGCGCAGCCACGTCGCGCACGTCCGCCCTCTTCAGTGTCTTTCGGGCCACGTCCAGGGCAGGCTCCGGCCGGTAGAACTGGATCATCTGCTCCGCGAGGTCCACGGCGTCGGCGCGCTCCAGCCGCCCCCACGGGATGCTGCGGCCGTCCAGGGCCGCGTCCCGCAGCTTGTGGCGGAAGCGCTTCAGCTGGTCCTGGCTCAGGTCCTCGAACGCGGCCTGGAGCAGGTCTCGCGCCTTGGCCGCGCGGGCCTCGGTGCTGGAGGCAGACGGGCGGTGGCGGTCAACACGCGTGTGGTTGCGGGGACCCCGGCCCTGCCCCGCCTCCTACCCTACCCTACCCGACCCCGGTGTCGGGGCGCGCACGACTGTCAGCGGCTCCCAGGAGGCCCCGTTGCTCCAGGGGACACTCACGGGGAGGAGAGGCATGGAGGGGGGAGCCGGGCTTTGCTCCCAAGCTTTGCCGCCTGGTGGTGAGTGGGTTCCCCCCTCCTCCCCCAAGGCCCTGGCCACCGCTGACCCCAGTGCTAGGGGGCGCCTTCCTGCTGGGCACATCCCTTGCTGTGTCCCTGCCAAGCGGGGCCAGGCCAGGTCAAAAGCCCAAGATGCCGTAGCTACCAGAGCCTGAGCTCTCCCCTTTCCTCCCTTTCCTCCTTCCCTCCCTGGGAGCCTCCAGCAGAGCCAAGCCGGCCTCAGTGGAGAGCCAGACTGTGCCCCACAGGTCCCTGTAACACTCATCTCACTGCACCCTTTGGTGGGGCCCAGGCTGGGGGCGTCACACCAGAGGCTGAGTCTGAGCCCCTGGTAGGAAGAGAGCCCCCCCCCCCCCCCATGCCTTCTGTGCAGATGGAGTCCCTAGAGTCCTGAGCCTGGGGCATGTTGGGGAAAGGGCGTGGATGAGGCTGTGAAGCCCCAGGGAGACAGCAGCCCAACGCCTTAGAGGGCTTTCCGAGTGACCATCCCGAAAGCCAGCACTCACCCGGAGGGGAAGGCCTCTGGTTGGTCCATGGAGTCTGGCACCTAGGAGGAGCGCTTAGGGGCAGACGCAGGGATCAGAAAGACTCCTCTCCCCAGGTTGACTGAAGCCAAGTTCTAGGGGATTTGCCCAGCTCCATCCATGCCCGAGCCCCAAGGGCTCTAGCTCAGCTGGCACTGAGATGTCCGTCCAGCAGTCACCAGGCTCCCGAACTCAGGCACCTGGGCATGTGCGCACAATCACCCTTTAAGAGTTTTGCTGGGTGACCTTTGATTTTTGTCTAATCTTTTTCCCCCATTACTGTACTCTGAAAACCCACAGGGTGTGGCAGCAAGGGCGAGCCGTGAGCAGGTGGCAGCAGAGAAGGGAGGACAGTGGCTGGCTCTGAACTAGACCTTCAACTTTAGGGCCTCAACATAGGTGACACTCTGAAGGTAGCAGGGAAGAAGGGCTTCTTGGGCCGAAGAGACACCAGGGCTCGTACGGTAGTACCAGGGAAAGGAAGCTGTCACGTGGGCCAGGGAAGAGCTCTGTAGCTTCCCAGGTCTGGCGTGAGCAGGTGGATGGGGAGAGGTGGGGAGGTGAGGTGTGTGTGTGACTGATGTGCAGCCACGTGTGACCAAATGAATGTGGGGTTCTCCTGACAGTGTCTGCCTGTGTGAAGCGTGTGTGTGTGTGTGTGTGTGTGTGTGCATCTAGGTGACCACCGTGTTTGTGTGAGTGCACTTGTAGTCGGTGACATAGTCGGCGACATAACAGGCCCCAAAGATATCAGGTCCTACTCTCGGGAACCTTGGAAGGTCCCCTTCTATACAAAAGGGGCTCTGCAGCCGTGATGGAACTCAGGATATAGAGATGGGAGATTGTCCCGCATTACCCAGATGGGCCATAAAGGTCATCTCAAGGACATGGCTAGAGGCCGAGGGGGATTCAGCCCAGAGGATGGTGAAGTGACCAAAAGTCAGCCATGAGGCTGCTGGCTCTGAAGTGGGGAGAAGGGGCCTTGAGCCAGGGAGCACGGGAACACAGCACTAGAAGCTGGGAATGCAGCTCGAAAAGGCAGGGGGAGGTCATGTCCTCTCTGGCCTCTGGAGGGAATGTGGCTGAGCCAACCCGTGGAACTCAGCTCAGTGAAACGGCTTTTGGACTTTGGACCTCCGGAACCACAAGAGAATAAGTGTGTACTGTCTTAAGCCAGGTTTACAGTAGGGAACGCAGCAGCCCCAGAAGATGAACACAAGATCTCTCTGAGTGTCTCTGGGCGATCGTCTGCAAGAACTGGGGTTCTGGAATTGCCACTGCCCTTCTGGCCATAAGCCATCCTTGTGTTCAGTCCTGCTTCCAGGAGGAGCCTTGAGAACTGACCCCCCCACCCTGGGAGAGAACCCGAGTTCTGGGAGCCTCTTTTCTGGCGGACCTCTCCACTAGGAGGAGGGGACTTACAGAGATGTCCATTTCTCTCTGATTTTTTTTTTTTTTTTCTGTTTAAGACAAATAGCTCCATGTCTTCCTGAGGTGGGCTGGGGTTCTCAGAGGTTTGCGTCTGCTAGCCACACTCACTTATCCCAGGACAGTGCCTGCCTTTCTCCGACTCCCCAAGTCCCTGACAGGTCCCCGCCCATCCCACTTGACTGCCCTCACTGGGCAGCCTTCTGAACACAGGGCAGGGCTGGGAGCGGAGAGCCTGGAGGGGTGCTGCTGCCAGCACACATGGGCGGGGGGTCCTTGGTGCTTTGAAAGAACTCCTGTGAACATGAACACAGCTCACGGTCCCCACAGAGCACTGAAAAGCAGGGCCCGGCACCTGCCCTGTGTGTTGAAGCAGCTTCCGCTGGGGCAGCTCCAGAGCGGCACAAGACCCTTGCTCCAGGCCCTGGTGAGCGGAACAGCCAGCAAAGCAGAGGAGAGGACTGAGTCTCCTTGGAGTCAGGGTCCTGGGGACAAACCCTTAGCAGAGTTGGACCTCAGATGCCAGGGGAGGTTGGGGGTTGGGGGTGCTACAGTCGTGAGTTCTATATGGGGTTCCAGCTCCCTTGATCTGCCAGCTCCCGACTCACTTAGCTCCAGTGACATGGCTGGGATTCTGCAGAGGCAAAGCAGCCATCAATGGGCCACAAACATAGGCGTGTCAGGGCTCGACTGTGGACAGAATGTGGGCCCTGCTCGGCTCCGGCGGCATCGCAGGGCCCTGGCCCACAGCTCCACTTCCAGAGACCCCAGTGCATCCTTCATGGACCCCTCAGTGAACCCCATTCCAACCCCAAGACACTCCACACACCCTCAGTCCTCCGGGCAGAGACAGATGTACCACCCTGGCTGGTGCTGTGTTTCTCTAAGTGCACGTTCACTTTTCCTCTCCACGGGATGATTTCTTGAAAGCAAGTTCTTTACCGCTGCACTGTCTCCCTTTCACTGTTGTTTCAGACAGGAAGTGCCACCATCAGGTACACCGTCTCCTAGCCAGAATGTTGGGCATCAAATCCTGCCTCCACCATCCAATGGCTGGACCACCTTGGACAAGTTACTTAACCTCTCTGTGTCTCTGTTTCCTTCTCCGCAAAACGGCATGGTAATGGCACTCCAGTATTGAGGGTGGAGAGGAGTGAGGCTGTCACATGTGTGCCCCGCCCCTTCCAGGCCCTGGTTGCTGTCCCCCCTTCAGTCCTGGGAAGCTCTGCTTTCTGGGTCACCGAGAACATCCTGATTCCTAAACTTCAGTTTGATTCCACTCACTCCCCACCCCCAGCACTTTACGCTGCTGACCCTGAATTCTTCCCTGAAATGTGTGCTGTTTCCGTTTTGCCAAAGGGATGGAGAGGGGCGAGTCAGAGAGAGCGTAGGGCTGGAGGAAGGGCGTGCATCTGCTCTGGTGTGTTCGGCCAAATTCAGCACTGGAAGGGCACTGAGGCCTGTGATTTCGGGATGTCAAGGTCATCCCCATCTCCTCAGATGGACCCTCCTTAAGTGGACTCTGTGTCCTACAAACTCTCAGCAGCCCCTGGAAAGGCTCTGCTACCAGGAGCCAGTATTGGGGAGGCCTGCTGTGAGCTGAGCTGCGTTGTGGGAGCATGGGAATGAGGAGAGGAGGTGGGGAGCGGGTGGAGGGGTGTGGGGCGGGGGTAGAGAAGGCCGAGGCTTGCTTTGTCAGAAAGGGGTCAGCAGGGAGGAAAGGACATGGGGGAGTGGTGTGGCAAACGGTGCCTTCCATTCTGGATCCGTGTTCTCCCGCAGGGCCGGCAGCTGAGCAGGACACTTCCAAGTGCACGATCTTGAAATCTTTACCGCGTAATTGAGACCGCACTGTGAAGTCCCTCACAGGTCCCTCCCACAGGGATTTTGCTCCCCAGGAAAACTTGAGGAAAGCCTTCGAGCCTTTCGTCCTATCTCACACTTTGCCACCGATGAGGGTTCACTGGTGTCCTCAGCATCACCCACTCCTCCTCGGGGGTTTCCCTCCTCCCTGGTCCTCCTCCCTTCAAAAGCCTCATTCTTGGTGCTCACACGCCCAGCAGAATGCTGCTTTCCCTGTTCTGAGCATTGCGCTTCACATCTTGACTTCAGAGAAAGAACCGTTTCTGGAGGAGTGGGAAGGATGAGGAGAAAAATGGAGCTACAGCTGACCCCTCCTCTGTCCGCTAACATGAGATAACTCGGCTGACGTGCACGAACTCCTGGAAAGACACAAACTGTCGAAATGGACGCAAAAGAAGGAATCTGAATAGATCGACAAGTAAAGAGGTTGAATTAATAATAAAGAGAAATTCTCGCAAAGGAAAGTCCACGTCCAGATGGCGTCACTGTTGATTCTAGCAAACATTTGAAGCATTACAAACAGTGCTGCACAAACTCTTAGGGAAAGCAGAGACGAGAAGAAGACTTTCCCAGCTCAGTCTGTGAGGCCACATTACCCTGATGCCAGATGAGGCAAACACATCACAAGAAAACTAAAGACCAGTATCTCTGAGGAGTATAGACAGAGAATCTCCAACAAACTCCTACAAACCAGAATCGCCAACATATAAAAAGAACTACAAACCATGGCTAAGTGGAATTTATCCAGTAGTATAAGGCTGGCTTGACATCCCCGAATCAGTTACTGTGACTGAGGAGTCCTTGCCGTGCCCCCCCGCCCCCCAGCAGGAGCTGGCCAGGCAGCCTGGGTGGTTCTCCTTCTCCTTTTCTCTGACGAGGGTTTTCATTGCAGTGATTCTGTTCCTCTTACACTCTCCCCACCCCCCACCCCGTTCCTTTAATACTCTTGTATACTGGGAGTCTTGGAGGTAATTGTCTTGTCTCTTAGCCTTCAGGAGGTCTAGTGGCTACAAGCTCAAGGTCAAGGCATCAGCAGGGCTGGTTTCTTCTAAGGCGTTTCTCTTAGACTTGTAGACAGTTGTTTTCTTCCAGTTTCTTCACATGGTCTACGCTCTGGGGATCCAATATGGTTTTTAATACA